GTTTTGATTGTTTATAACATGTTCAAAGATTATGATTCCAAAATGTTAGGTGTTTCCATTATTTTATCCAACCCCTGTGTATGCATCTATTGCTATTGCTAATTCGATTCACTTGAAAGAAGCGTATGAAAATCTCGAACTTCTTCTTAATAAGGTCAAATACAAAGAACATGGCTGGCTACTTTGTGGGGAGTTAAAAGTATTTTTTGTGTTGTTGGGTCAACAATGCGGTTATACAAAGTTTCCATGTTTTTTGTGTGAATGGGACAGCAGAGCATGAAATCAGCACTGGGCAAAGAAGCAATGGTAACGCAGAGTCAGCCTGATACCAGGTTGACACAAAAAAGTTCTATTACCTCCATTTCGTATAAAACTGGTCTTGATGAAGCAGTTTGTAAAGGCCTTAGACGAAGATGGCGACTGTTTCAAGTATCTATGTGGGCAATTCCCAGCTTTTTCAGAGCGAAACTTGAAGAAAAGATTTTTGCTGGGCCTCAGATTAGGAAATTGATTCTAGATGAACAGTTCAAAAGGACAATGAAGAAAGTTGAAAAAGAAGCGTGGATTGCCAAACTGACAAATAGTTAGAAAAACAAAGACCCAAATTATGAAAATATTGTCAATAACATGTTCGATAAATTCAAAGAGTTAGGTTGTAATACGAGCTTGAAAGTTCATTTCTTACACTTACATATTGACTATTTTCCTGAAAATCTTGGTGCCGTCAGAAGAACAAGGGGAAAGGTTTCATCAACACATCATGGAAATGGAGAGGAGGTATCAGGGAAGATAGAACATCAGCATGATGGCTGATTACTGCTGGTCATTAAAACGAGATGCTCCAGGCGCAATACATAAAAGAAAGATCACAACACGTAGTTTTGAGACAAAAAGACGTAGATTTCACATAAGAAAATCAGGATGAATGAGGATGCATATTCGTTTGACATTGATGTTCTCCCCTTTTCTTCAATTTGTTTGCATTTTTGTTAACAGACATAATAATAAAAAATTTCTTTTGTTAAACGAAATAATAATTTTATCTAAGTAAGAGTTTTGTTTCCCTTCCAGATTTGTAAAAAATCCTTTCGCGATAGAAAAAAATTAATATTATTTGCGAACTCTGCGTAGTTGAATTATGGAAAATCCGTTATTAAGACCAAAGCAACTTTTATGAAGTTTAAATTCGCAGGCCTGTGTTATGCATATAACGTATATGACTGAAAGTGTACTTTCAAAGATTGCGACATCATACTTTTATTTTGTGCTCAACTTGAAGATCATAAGAAGTGTTTAACAGTATTTTCTCAGCATGTAAGTTTGTCCAGTCTTAAAGGTCAGTGCTACCTTAATTGGACAATGTTTTATTATTCATTATAAGTAAGAATTTAATAAATTGGATATCACGATCCTATATTACAGTATGAATAAGTATATTCTAAATATATATGTGAAAATTCTTTGAAAACACAAGACTGTGTAAACACTGATCTCTATATGTATAGAGCTATGCATGTATAGTACAATTTCAATAAAAAGTAATTACTACCGGACAGAAATAACACAAAGCTTAGCTTAATAATCAGAAGTTAAGAAAGTCCATGGAAACAAACGGTGTCGAATTCGTCCCAGTCTGCTTTGCGACACCATGGCTTTAATCAAACACAGAATGAAATCGATGTGGGTTAAAAATTTCAATTCAATTCAGTCAGTGGTGTAGCAAGGAGTTGCAAAGTAGGAGTGCTTGGTTAGACATGCAGCTTTTACAATGAGAGATTGAAAGTATTAGGAGATGCTAAAATAGTTCTCGTGGTGCCAAAGACAGTTCAATCTAAGGGGGTCTGTGGCATTTCCCCACAAAATCAATATAATGATATAATTTACAGTTGCTATATAAGTCAAACATGTAAAAGTGGGGGTGATACAACACCCTCATTACTCCGGTTCCGACGCCTCTGCCACTTTAATTACAGTAACAAGTATAGGAAGTTTTGAACATTTGTCAAGTTCTGAATTTTCCTAATGAAAAGCGTGTATGGCTCAACATCATTACGAATTATATACTAGGTAGCTGTTTGATTGTCTTTTGTTTCATTGCAAAAGTACACAATGAGCTATCTGCACTTTAGCCACCGCGGGTAATCATTTCTCGGACTTTAGCGTTGTAAGTCCGTAAAGTTATCGCTGACCTATTAGGGTTGGGTCTACACAAACACAAAACACAACATCCATTGAGGAATATCGAATTTACAAATAATTTCATTATTATGTGTAACAGGAAGACAGATCTTAATCATTCACTTTTGGATTTTTTTTAATTAACTGCGTTTAAATAAAACTTCTTTTTTAAATGACCTTACAGTCACATAACAAGATAAAGATTCGGTAAAATAAATTTACAATACATTTAACTAGTTCGAAAACCTAATAGTTATTTAACTCAAATGAAACGATAGATGGCAGTAAAGCAGACGAAAAATATGTATATTCGATTGAGTGAAACAGTTCGAAAACTATTGTTGTTAAAAAGTGGTGAAATTGTTACTGAGTTTCCAATAAATTCGTAAGCTTTATTAGTATTTAACCTAGAAGATTTAGAAACTTTCAGTTAATAGTTATAAAAGTTTAAGTATTATTGTTTATATATCAGGAACTGAAATTGAGTCAAGGAAATTAACAAATTGCTTTTAGTTTTAAAAAGTTTAACTTTAACTTAAGTATGCTATACTTATAACTATAACTAGTTTTACTATAAGTTATAATCTTATCTTTTAACTTTTTAACAATAGTGAGAAGAATGGCACGGCGCGATCTTAAACGTAAAATTTTGGGACTTTTTTTGTTACAAGAAGTACTGTCTAGTGAAGAAGAAGATTGGTTAATAATGCAGCTGATTCAATCAGATGCTGAAGAAGATGTTGAGCTTCTTTTCCATTTACTTCTTGGAAGCAGTGCTGTTCCTCGGCCAATCCATAGAATGATAGGGTTTGTTGAGAGAATAGTTCCGACATTAGCAGGCAGTCAATTTAAATATTATTTTAAAATGTCCAAAGAAGCTTTTGAAGCTTTAGTTATGATGGTATTGTCAACGGGAGAGCTTAAAGTTAAAAGACCACGTGTTGGTGGAAAACCACCAATTTATCCCATGAAACAAGTTTTGGTAGCACTATGGATGTTGGGGAGCTTAGAGACCTATTATGCCATTGGTGATCGATTTGATATCAGTGTATCCACAGCTGTTAGATGTGTAAGGAGGGTTTGTCGAGGACTTGTTGCTTTGAGAGGAAAGATGATAACTTGGCCATCAGGTATGAATGAATTTGATTATAACCAAGTTTCTATGGTTCAAAATAAATTTATTTGCATAGTCAAATTTTAAACAAAATAAAAGCAAATGCAATTAAAAAATTTGTTATATCATGCAGATATATAGTCAAAGTTCCATATTTCTTTACAATGACAATGTAACTATAACTCTGGAAAATCTGAAAATGTCAAGGAATTTTAAAAATAGAGTAAAAAATGTGGTAAATTGAAAAAGTATTTCAAAATTAAAAATGTATAAACGTTGTGAAATTTGGAGGGCTAGAGATTTTCATTTAATTTATGTAGTGCATATTGGTGTATAGAAGACATTTTAATGCTAGTAATAAATAACTATATTTATAACACCAAGTAGTTGCTTTTATTTAATTAGACACTCAATGTTTTGCTTTACAGCTTCTTCGGGAGTTTTCACTAAAACACAAACCGAAACTGACAGTACAAAGTTCCCTTTACAATCTTAAACACCTTAATCAGACCCACTCTAACTCTTCTTTTTCCAAGAGAAAACAGTTTGATAGATTTCAACCTCTCCTTGTATGGGAAACCCTCCATCCCAGGCACCATTCTAGTAACCCTCCTTGGAACCCTTTCCAACAATTCAATGTCCTTCTAAGGTAAGGAGCTCAAAACTGAACACAATACTCCAAATATGGCCTGACCAGTGACCTATACAGTGAAATTTGTATTCAATATTTCTGTAGATACAACTTAACACATTCATTGTCACATAATAAATTAAGTATAAATAAAATCAAACATTCAACAGGTGCCAAGGAGCAGTCACAGTGTCCTAAACTCATATGCCACAAGAGAAATTTGGCTTTGAAACATAATTGTCTGTAACCCACCAGTGTGTCATTAATTAGAAACAATATGGTACATCCTTTTTTGATCTCCTAACTTCCTGTTTCACCAACTTTCTTGAACTATTATAATCTTCTAAATCTCCCATCATAACAGTTAATTTATACATCATAATTTTCCTGTAGTAGGCATTTTTGAAAATTGATGTATCACCTTGTCCTGATTCTGAGTACATTTTTTTTTACTTTTCAAATAACTAGTGTTTAATTTTTTCTTCTGATTGAATAGAAGAAATGTTTTGTGAATACTTTTAGACAAGTTTCTCAAATTAATATGAAAATGTGCCAAAATAACACTTTATACTTGTAGATTTGAATATTCTGAGATTTCCCAATAATCAAAATATGTACACTACAACATTCAAGGTTAGAAAATATAAAGGTTTCATATTTTCACTATTCATTTCATATATTCTTGTTTTGAAATATATATTCCATTGCAATCGCTTTTTTTCAGCAAAACAGGAGCATAAAAATACTAAGTTAAAAAACAAATTAATTTAGCCCACCAATGTTACTTAACAAAGTACAAAAAAAAGGGAAAAGAGGGTAAAAATAAACTCAAAATATTTTTGTAATTAGACTGAAGCTTTTCTTTTAATGCTTTTGCATGTTATTAGTCAGATATTCCAAAATTCAATACTAAACATTTGTTGTGAGGACAAAGTTGTAGGTTGATCAGATAATAGGTAAGAAGACATTGATCCATCAGAAATATTATATATATACCACTGAAAATTTTCTCTTCAGCTACTATCTTCAATAAAACTTACTTGTGTATATTCATAACATATGGACAACAAAGGATTATTTGGTCCTTCAAGGTTGTCCTTTCAAACTCACATCCTCAAAAAAGGGTTAATAGATTAGCAAGGCAGGTCTGCCCTTTGATAAGACTGTGGTGGTTCTCTTTTATATCTTATTTCATAAGATGATTTTGTAAGTGAAGACATCCTGATGTTTCTGGATAACAGCAGTGATAGTTTCTAAACATCTGTTTTTTTCCACTTGAAACTCTTGTACTCTTGGCAAAAGATGCAATGAGTCCAATTTTCTGCCAGTTTTAGTATTTGTTGGAATATAAGTAAACAAATTAAGTGAACTTATCTCTTCACCATAAGCAATTTTTAATATGTACCTTTAAGTTATTACTGTAGCTTTATCTCATGAATTATTTCACATCTGTTTTCTAAGCATAACATGTAAGTTAGAAAAAAGCTATTTAGAGAAAGCTGGGGAACAGAGTTCAGTTTCACATCATAAAATTAATTACCATTAATCATGTAGTGTGTGTTTGTGTTCTGACATTAAGTAATTTGTTGCAATCAATATTGACGTGTACTCCTTGTTCAATCTGTAGGTAAATCAGAAAAATAAACAAATTAGAAGTAATTATCTCGGTTATTAAAAACAGGTAAAAAAATTCATGGAAACTTGATATTTACAATCCGAGGCTATAGAATGTTTCTAACTGCTTCATCATTTTCACTTTGTTACAATAACATAATCCAGTTTTAATAATATTGAATTATTACTGAAAAATATTATATATGCAGATTAATTATATATATGTAAATGTGAGATTATGAATACATCATGAATAAATACTTTATTATATTATTATGAGTAGACTAAAAACTGACTTGGGAATAAGTTATTATTTGTAACTTGCAATTAACCACAAGTTCACCTTTCCATCGAAATAGGCATACATTACATACGTGTAAATCATGACAACAAAGTCTCTGTTAGTTTATCTAGGCTATCCAATTTACTAAACTAACCTTTAAAATAAAACACTCAGAAACAGCCATTATTATTCAAATATTCGTCAAGCCTTCCCTTTAATTGTATCCACCACATCTGAAGCAACTTAGCTGAAGATGACCCCTACCCTGCCAAAATTTATATTTGGCCTCTAGTCCTACCAATCTCACCATTAAGTATGAAAAAAGATGATGCATTAACACTATCTGTTCCTTAGCAATCTTAAATGCCTCAATCAGGTTCTCATTAACTCTTCTGAAAACAATTTCAGAGATCTTAACCTGTCCTTTTTATCCCAGATATCCTCATAGCCCTACTTTGAAGTCTTTCTAATGATTAAACGTCCATCTTGAAGTAAAGATCCTAGCACTGAACATAATATTCCAAATGTAGCCTAACTAATCACCTATACAATGAAATTATAATCTCTTTAGACTTATATTAATTAATATTGTAGATACAACCTGAAATCCTATTTGTCCTGGCACTGTCAACAGCACATTGTATAACATTGATGTAAATCCAAAAGAGCATAAGCCCTAACACTGAGACCTGAGGTACCCCACTTCTGACATTAATCCAGTTTTATTGAACTCCAATGCTAATTGATCTAGACAAGGTGGTTTTGCATTGTTATTATTGTCTATCTTATATATTCCTCATCCAAGTGCAACAAAAGTGCAACACAAGGTGGTTTTGCATTGTTATTATTGTCTATCTTATATATTCCTCATCCAAGTGCAACAAAAATTAAATTTATTGACTAATTATGTCACAAAAATAGTAAGTTACATGAAATTTTGCTGAAATTGAAAGATATGCAGATAAGTTCGTTTCACAAGCTTTGATATTAAATGTTACTTAATGATTTGACACTAGTAGTTGTTGACAAACCAAGAAATTTGTTATTTAATTATTTTAAATACCTGAGAAATGTCATTGTTATCATGGAAAACACCTTTATAACCATTAAACTGTACCATTTCCAAAGAATACAACAGGGCTTAAAATTATTCAGTTAGTCAACCAAATCTGCCTCTCACTTAAGAACTTTTTTTTAAAATAATGATCACATTTGTAGTCTTTCAATCATAAGAAACATGAGAAAATATCATGTGGTGAAAGAATATATAGTTGTTTTAATTTCAATTATTTTAAAACTAAAATGAAACTTCAATGCTAAATTAATTATCCCTGATCTCATGGTTATTATAGTGTTGTAATGTGTTCTGTGGTTGGGTAGGTTCTTTTGGATTGTTTGACAAAACAAGGCCAAGTGTAGTTCACATAACAATAACAAATTAGTTTATTTCTGCATTAACATTTGCTAACAGGCTACTATCACTTGTATACAGTTGTAGACCTAAGTTCACAAATAAAGTTCTCATTTTCAATAGAAACTGACTTGATTAATAGCAAACCTGATTAACTTTACTCAGTTAATTTTGTCTTGATCAACAACTGTTTGATGTTTCACACACGAAACACTTCTTTGAATTCTCAATCACTACTCAATAGCTTCTCAATAAATACTTTATTGACTGACTAGCACTATGACTAACTACGTACTAGTATTTATAACTAATGCACCCATCTATATCTTAATGAAATTTACTAGCTATTAACATCATGCACCCTCTAGCTAATATATAAATGAAAACATTGAAAATATAGCTTACAACAATAGAAAAGGTAGAACTTTGTGAATGGTTTCTTTTTTATAGTTAAACAATGAAAGAAAATTGTCTGTTAACAATGTGATCTGCATTAATAAATTTTTGGTTTTTTGTTTAAAGTGAGAATCTGAATAAAAACTATTTAAAAATTTCATAATTTTGAACAGTTCAGAAACAAGCAGAAACAATGGAAGAATTTCAGAAATTGTCAGGAATTCCTGGAATTATTGGAGTTATTGATTGTTGCTTGATTCGTATTCGAACACCGCGGCGATACAAGTCCAGTTATAAAGATTCTTCTGGCAATACATCAATGAGTTTGTTGGTAGGTATACAATTTATTGTGATTTGAAATTTTGCTAACTTGATTGTTAGAAAATCCATCCTAACTGATATCTTTAATATTAATATTGTTAATGTGAAACTGTGTGCCTTCAACTTTGCCTGGTTGGGTTATACATCCCATCCAGATAGTTTCTTCATTTATTTGTGATGACCCTTTTCTTATTTCTCATGTCTTCTCTCAACATGTTTGTCATCTTACAACTTCTCTTGTGTCTGGTCTTTGAGATCTCCTTTATGAGATTTCGCAGGTGTGATGTAGATGACTCTAGAGGGATTACTACTTATACTATAGGTTTCACCTACCCTAACTTTTGTTTCACTCTATTCACCATTCTCTACTCTCCACAGTGGCTGTGATTGTGAGGTGTTTCTTTTTCATGTATTGCCTCACAGGGCATACTTACACAAAATCTGCATTGAGTTGGAGAGTACAGAAAGTGTTAAGGCTATCTGTCCCTTCTCAGTGCTTGCCATTTAGATGGGGTTTTCTGTAAGACTGCTTCAGTGGCACATATATATTTCATCTTTTAGACTGTTCTGCAGATGTGAGAAATAAAGAAGAAAAAAGTACCAGATGTATGTCTGCTGTCTTTAGTCATGGTAACCCATTGCACTGTCTCTCAGTGAGGGACCTAATTCCAGATAAATGTACCTGATGACATGGTCAAAGCACCTCTCCAGCATTTTTTGTCATGCAATTTCCTCCTTTACCATTTCTTATAGTAGATTATGGGAGAACCCTTTCTTCCCCAGTCCCAAGCTGCTGGGGAAGACAGTATGGAGCATTTTTCATTGGGCAGTGCAATCACTCTGATACGAGACACCCCTGATTGGACACACCCCTTGTTTGGGTAGTAGGACCGGGTTGTTACCTGGTAACGTAGTACAGGACACCCCACTATATTATGAACCAAGCTTTTTATTGTGATTTGATCCAGCTGGATGGGTTTTGGGTTTGCCATAGAATGCAAGTTTGGGATGCTTCTCCCTACACCTGATTACTGTGATGAGTATCTCCTGTAAATATTATTCTTATATGTAATGGTCTTACTTATAGCCCTATCCACACTATACAATTGTGCTCAGGTTCCTGCCTGTGAGAAAATAGCTGGTTGAGCATTCTTACATTCTGCTCACCTTAATGACACTTTCATACCATGCAAAAAGATTCTTGTGACACTTTCCTTGTTCTACCTCCTCTATTAACAATGAATACTACAATAACATTGGATGGAGAGTATTCTCTGCTTGATATGGATTAAGTCTCCCACTGATTGCTGCTACACTGTTCTACCCTCACATCATGGATGTAACACTCCTTGTTCTTTTCATTTCTGATATTGTTTTTCAGAAAGGAACTAAAGTTTGTAGTTTTTCTCCTCACTAGCCCCGCCACTGTCTTCAGTGTGTGATTTTAGCTCTTTGTGGTGCAGAGAGTTGAGCAGCATGTCACAAGTTAGCAATTTTCTTACCGTAAAATGTATTTCAGATAGATACTCATCTCTCTGCACCATCTCCCACCCTTCTCACCCACTTCTGGTGCTGCATTTAGGTTGCTTCATAAAAAATGAGCCTTTGTTCAAATGGTAGTGCTCACGGGGATTACTATGCATGGAGGATGTTATCCTCCTGTTGATGGAGGTCTATAGTCTAATTATGATTACATCATAGGCTTATGCAAACACATTGACACGTGTAGGCGTGGAAGCTTTGTTCAAGGCTTATGGTATGTGCAGGAATTTACATAGCAGTGTGTGTTAGGTAATAGCTCTTTGTGGTGCAAAGAGGTGAGTATCTTGTAAAATATGTTTTCAGGTAAGGAAGATGTTAATGCAAGTGGTTTCTAAACTGTGTGTTGCATTACACTCGTGTGTCATGGCAAGTTGCTAGGGATTTTGTGAGAGTTTCACAAAATGAAGAATAATTAAGAACAAAAACTACAAAACATATTGCATGTGGTAGCAGGGGTGTCATGCAAATGAGGGTAAGTGGGGTAGGATGTTGTCGGTGAAAAATGTTTGGAAAACTGTTTTAATGTTTATGCTAGTCAGATATCAATAAAAGAAGAAAAGTGTTATCATATTACAAAGATAGAATTTTAAGTATATTTTAACTTTGTGAAAAATACTTTAGATGTTATTTATATGGGCATTAATTAATTGTGCATACCATTTATGCTTCAATGATATGGGTCTTGAATTGAATGAGTTTAGAGTGACCTTAGTTATGTTGATACAAATTTTAAATTTATATGGTTTTGTGGCATGATCATAAATTTTGAATCTAGGTAATAAAGACAATGAAAAAGGTCGATCAGAAAAAAAAGACAAAGGTAAAAAAAATAAAGAAAGTTACACAATCAGGTAAAAAAGATAAAGAAAGTTACACAAACAGGTAAAAAAAGTCAAAGGTATGTGATAATAAATAGTAAAATGCTCATTTTGGAATTTGTCATTTTATACCATTTCTTAAATATAGAACTTGCTTTTTTTTACTTTTTTACCTGTTTGTGTAATTTTCTTTCTCTTTTTTTTTTCCAATTGCGTTTTTTCCACTGTCTTTCTTACCCTCGTCTTTATTATCACCACTGATAAATTTCATCCTCTGTCCTTGCTAACCATGACCCAGTAAGAATTTTTAGTGCACAAAATACCTGGCTTACAAATACTTACTAATTGAATAAACTGTTATCTGTTTTTCACATTCTAATGACCTATGGGTTGAGAAACACTAATTCTAATATGATATCTTACCTCCTTTTACAAAAAACTTTCTCGATTAGTACTGCCCTCTATTGGTGCTAATTTTTTGCTCACTACTAGCCTTGTAACTCACACTTCTTTCTGCATATCTACATGCAAACTTGTTAACCACTTTTTGATTGGCAGTCTTACTGTACAAACATGTTTTTTAAGCTTGCGATTTAGTTAATATATCCATACCTTTTTACTTTTGAATGTTTTCAAACTTCAACACTGCTGTTTTTCTCTTTTTTTAGTGGAGAGTCATGATTTAAATTTCATTATTTATTCTCCCTTTTCTAATTTTTGTTTTCTCCTTTGTGAGTTATGCACTCGCAGTTTTGGGTAATCATGACTACCTCTGCTGTTGCTGCTATGGAGGATTTTTCATTCACATTTGTGGGGGAGATAATACAGTTGTCGGCTGTGTTTTATTGGGAATTGTACCATTGTGGGCAACATTATGTGTAACCTGTTGAGTAGCCTGTCATACCAATGCCTTATGGTAGTTTTTTTTTTACCCTTCTGAATATGCTTTCTGTCACATGTCATTTTGGGGGATATTACCAAGGCTTCCTTTGCTCTTTGTAGCCATTATTTCCTCATGTATGCAGTGGTGGGATTCAGCCAGTTCGCACCGGTTCGTGCGAACCCTGTTCTTAGAATTTAATGACCTCCACGAACCGGTTGTTAACAATCGTATGTATAGGACTAATAATAACGTTACAACTTACAAGTACGCGTGTTTACAACGCAACTTTACTAGCAGGCTAGG